TTCTACTGGATACCCTCATTCACACAAAGCAATTGGTCTGTGTATGGATTCCTAATGGCTGTTTTATTCTTTTCTAGCTTATCCCAGTGTACAACACCCAGTCTCATAAAAACGAAGGGCATGATTTTCTTTGGATGGGGGCTTTGTTTAACTTCCGGCTTTGGCATGTCTCCTGAATCCACCTACGCTCTCCATTGAATCAGATCCATACGGAGACAATTTTTCATCTTGCGTGGCAATCCTATATAAAAATCGGTTCTTTTGGCCACCTGTTGCTCGTTGGCGGACAGAATATCGAGCAGCTATTTGAAGTTGATCTTCCTTGTAGTTTGCGGTAAGCTTGGGCGGCACCCAAACTCAAAGTATTTGCGAAAAATCAATAGTTGAAGGGGACGGGACATTGTCACCGCATTGCTCATCCTCTTCCAGGCCAATTTTCTGCAGTCTTTTTGCAACCATCCTCCTTCAAAAGGTCTTCGTCGAACTCAGTAGGTTTCCCAGAGCGAGGCTTGTCGTCCATCTCGGAGTCGTTATTTTCGTGCTTACAAAGCAATCTCAAGCAATCTTCACAGCTATAGCACACTCACCATAAACCGTACAAATACCCAGAGCTGCTTCGACTACTTTTCGTTAACAGCGGAACGCGAAATAAAGCGTGTCGAAAAGGTTTATCTCGTCGTCTAGTATTTCCATTTCAAACGCCTGAAAGTTAACTGAAATTAAATTTTTCGACGAAATGGTGACATTGTGTTTACAGACAAAACAACGCTCTTACGTATGACCATATCCGATTTGCCATACTTTAAAAATATGTAGTGAAAGCAAACCGAAAATAAAACGATGGGAATTTATGTTACCGACTAATACCTTGAAAGTTTATCCAGTTGGATGGGGTTGCAGCGATTGGAATGACCGAGTCCTAACACATGGTAACTCACTGTATGGCTCAAACTTCGACTTGTGATTCAGATATCCAAAGACGCCATTTGGTGTTCACCACAAATCGATGGGTACTGTAACGTGTCTTGACTACTGTAACTCTCTTCCGACATAAGGCTTACTACTTAATTGGTAATAACTGCTTCTTCTAAGGACGTATCTGATATTTTGAGCTTTAGTCACTTGCATACTGTTAGGAAGTCGCAACGGACGAAGTCTGAGACACGACTTTATACACAAACCGGGCCGGCAGCAGTTCACGCAGGGGGCGGACGAAATCGGTTCATCATCGACAGTACGGTTTGCTATGTTTTCGGTGTCAGCGCCGGTGTGAGCTGGGCTGAGCTTGTCCGGGCTTACAGGCATCCATATACAGCCTGTCCCAAAAGTCTTGTACCTCTACTCTATTAATGCGTGACAAAGGATCACTGCCCAATTTGTTTCAGGCGGGAGCATGAGCTTTTCTTTCTAACATATTCACTAATGAGGCAATATTCTATTAGCGGGTAACTGAGAAGCTGCATTTCTAGGCAGTATCTAATCCTCGCGGACACTGAGAATCACGTATTGCACCAAGCGCGAAACTCATTAGCAGCGTAACCACACCTGTTTCCTGCAACGGCGATCAATACTGCGACGGGAGAATAGGCTATGCGGCAGCGATTAGTCTGTAGGTGGCATAGCTTTACAAGACTCCTTTCTCGAAACGTCACATTTCATACTAATAAGGCCTAATTGTAAGGAATGCCTATTTTGCTAAGGTAGGTTGTTGGAAAGTAACTTTCAGTCTACAAGAGCGTTGCCAATAACCCTTTTGTCATTAGCAGGGATAACACTAAGCAGCTATTGCACACTCCTTGCTCAGGCCAGTTACGTCTGTCCAAGAGCCACACAATTCTATCGCAGTAGTCCGGTAACGCGACACTGCTGTTTCGCTTTTGCACGCCTGTCACCACTCCAACCAGCCTAACACACCGTATTTATCGGTCGGTGAACTTGCCCTGTAGCATGCCGTAAGTTGACTCCAACTCAACCATCCGCGCCTGATCTAGCGTTTTCACGATGGGTGACGCAGGCAAGTACGTATGTACCCACCTGTATGCCTACGGTCGTTCTACACCCATGCGACCGGGTGAGACATTTTGAGGTAAACCAACATCTACTACTGTACAGTTGGTAAGTTAGTGCGCTCTACTTCACACCCGAAGGAGGGACCCTTTGTCCCGCATTAACAGCGTAGAGGGATCAGACTTTTGGGACAGGCTGTATAGGTGACCAAGCGTACGTGCATGGTTGTCAGTCAGCTGGACGATCTATACTCGGCTTTGAAGGCAAGGCCGAGGATGTGTGGGTGTGGCCTATAAATGTAACCATTTTCTGGGCTCAATATCCTCCGACCTGGCAAGTCGGGTCTTCCGGTTTCCCTCGAGTGGGTTGGACACAACAGATCAGAGCCAGCGCAGTGTCACAACATGCACAAACGCCCGGTGAATCTGCCATCACATTACCCACTGGCGTTAGTGTGCTTGTCTACTGGTTTCCTATTACCTTTTATTCGTGGTCTGGATATTCAGCGTAAGAAGGAGATAAATACATCTGGTGGATGGTGAATCCAAGCCAGTTAGTGCGTATTCCAGCGAATCCGTGACACGAATAAACCAAGCCATGGCGAAGGGGAACTTTTCAGAAAGTTTGCGCAATCGATCACGATGAATTCAATTGAATGCACTGATGTGCTGCTAGTAACGAGCTCAAGAGTCGACTCAACCAGGACAGTTATGCTACATTCCATTCAGTACGTTGGGAAAGCTCTACCAACACGTGCTGGCGAAGTCCACCTAGATATCTGGGTTACGATCAACCGGCTCGCGGGATTGTTTGGACGCAGTGGTGGCGGATGACGAGGTCGCGCGACGCTCCAGCTTTGAGGACCTTTGCTGGTATTATCCGAGTTCCGGCTCTTAATTCAGGAGGTACCCAACCAAGGCTGAAGCCGGTGGTTTGGGGCGAGTAGCTTCTAACATTTGCATACCTCATATATAGTTCAATTGACCGATTTGACCGAGGCTCATTTCGTGACTCGCATTCCCAATTAGAATTGTGTATCTAAAACCAAACACAACGGTTTTTTAAACAGCTTCACAACGCACACGCCGATAAAGAGTACCAATTTATTGATCCATCGGCACCTGCATAAATGAAATCACGATGAAGTGAAAATAGGTTGCACACAGATGGAGTTGAATAATACGATATGATTGATATACGTTGTTCAGAGGCAGTTGAAAGCCAGGTGGTATGGTTGCCAGAGTGGATATCCATCTGTACTCTGATAACTGCGCGTTTTTATGATAGCGGAACGATTGCACCTGGTGTACATCACACGAAACGCAAACATGATTGTCCATGAGACGCCTAGGCAACCTCTGATCTACGTTCCGGCCTTGAGTCGTGCTACGGACATTTTCATATGGTATCGGTCCCCAAGTTCGATTACAACCATGTTTTTAACCATCTATCTTCCGCTACACCTACGCGCCTGTTCGCTTTACTCTATCATGGACACAAATTAGCTGCCTCCAGGGGACCGGCTTTGTCCTCATTGTCTGTGATCCACCTTTCACATGCATAAGCAATAGCTGTCGCCGACGTGTGATCAGTGTTAAAGTGGGCACCATAACAAGTACCAGGAAGTCTATAACTTCCCAGAATCCTAGCGAGTGGCGACAACCTAGTTTTCGGTGTTAGCAACCTCTTTTTAAACCTTATCGTTGACAGCTGACACAGCACTGATAAAGACAGATGTGCTTGTGTGAACGCAGGGGGTTGTTCGTAGAATACATACAGCGTGCCAGGGGCGCTGATCACGTGAATGTCCTGTTAAACGCTCAACGTAACACGCATTGTGCATAAAAGTCATAAAACAACTTTTTTCCGCCAACACTTGATTTTTTACTCAGCAGACAACCGGTCACCCCACTTTTGTCTTCACGTATGTAACATTGTACGCCACTTAAACTGTTACGTTATTCAAAATGAGTTGGAATATTGGTAGCTCGGGAGGCTTGCTCAGTTGTTGTGGAGTGCTCCGAGCTGGGCAACTTGGTTGCAAACGTTTCGATCCATTATTGGATTTTGCTTTCTACCAGCTACTGCTACTTAACTGCTATCAATCCCGCACTGAAGATGCCACCTCGAATAGTGGCGAAACGTTTGCAACCAAGTTGCCCAGCTCGGAGCACTCCACAACAACTGTTACGTTATTGTATTTATTTATGCATCCGCTAAAATTGTATTTACCTTTACACCATGAAGTTTAGTCCTTTGACAGAGGCAACTTCCGTCTGTTGAATTCCTCATACAGTCCGGTCCATGTGGTTTTCCTGTAAACAGAGCGACTTATTGCGCCGTCTTCTTGTTCAGTCAACAATACCACCGGAAAAGCCAGATAGTTACTGCCTTCTGGTTCACAGATGAAACGGGCGTTGGGATGTGCGTTGTTGCCTACACTGAGAAGAGACTGAACAGTCTGTACACTTGGAACTATCACATCTGACTGAGGTAGGATTCGCACCTCGACTCGATCATTACCAGGAAGGTGTCCATCAGTGACTGGAACGTTTGGCACTGATACAGCTACAACTGGTAACCCTATCTGACATAACGCTATCCATACACCAGTAGGCCCTTACTCACCGCTCCTATCTCCAACTGTTCTTGGCCCCACCCGGATGACTGTAACTCGTCTATGATCTTTTAGCAGTCGAGTTTCCACCACTTCTGTACCACATCGGTGCCAATTTGTTACCATGAGAACACGAGCCAAGAACACGCCACCATCTACTCCGGAACTGAACCCAAGCGTACTTAATTTGTTTTGCACTGAAACGGGGAACCAAAGCCAGTACATTCAGAGCACAGAAACTTTGTCATTGTGTCCAAATAGTAAAGCTTTGTCGCATTGAGTACGGCGTGAGCGTTCTCACTGGATGTCTCTTAAACCACTCTCATAAAATGCATTTTGGCCGGTTCGAATGAAACTATTTTACTTTTAATTTCAGGTTTTGTCGGTGTTGACGGCTCTCTGATTACTCGCGAGGTTGTTCTTGGCGCCGATCGTCAGTTCAAAAAGACGTTTGACGGAGTCATCGGGGGTACGCTAATTCTTAAGATGATTAGACAGTGCGCTGTTTTTCTTCTTCCTTACTCTAGCTTATATGCGCTTTTTGTCACATGATTGATTAACTTGATTGTGTGATTCATTCCGATATACTTGCCATTTCACAAGTGGGATATGGAGTAGGTGAGTATCGTTTAACGACACCCTGAGTTAACGGTAGAACTTGCAATGTCCCTCATTTTCTTTATGATGCCATTGATATGTCGTAGGTGAAGGGAATCACTATCTCGCTAACATCGTTGCAATGTTTACTCTTGAAACACAGAGCAAAGATGCATTAAATTGACAGAGAAATACATAAAAATAAATCATGTACTTGAAAAATTAATCACAATATTATCATAGTCTCGCTACCATACATAATAATACCTAAAATACGTACCACTTATAAACAAAACAACAATTATTTTGTTCGTGGTTATTATCATAAGATTTTATGTTATCATAAAATATAAATAATAGATAACAAGAATTTCCCAGCATATCGCAAGCTAGGTGAAAACTGCGTTCTGTAGGATGTCTACCGGTTGAGTTTACTATTCAAGCAATTTTTCAGTCATAGCTCTCAAGCGACCTGCGCAACTGTAAAACAGCCTGGGTCACACAGTTGGTTTCCTGCAAGAGAGCATGTTTTCATCGGTTTAGCGGATTATACACACCATTCCTTTAGTCTCAAAAGAATATGGTGAGTTTGACAACCTCAGTAGCCAAGGGCACTTCGCGGTGCCTAATGACAACAATTCACGCAAATCAATAGCTTTCGTATTTGGACTGTTGCCAGTTCCGGACTCTTACTAAGCTGCAACCATTCACAAGACAATTTGAGGAGGGGGTGCAAGATCAGCAGCCCACTTCTTCAGACTCGCATAATAGTTCGTGCTATTGGTTCCAGAAAGCGATCTACCAGCGAAGAACCCAGAGACAACAGAGTTGGTCCAACTCGCATTGAGCAATGCAGTATGGATTGTTGGGTGAAGCACTTTGGGAAGCAGTTCAGCTAATCTACATTCCCCTGCACCGCTTCTTGCTTAGACGGTGGTGATTGAAATGTGCTCGAGTTGCATAGAGGATTCATCTGAAGCTGAGGTTGGAAACGTGATCGCAACTATCAATCGTTTCTTCGCTGTCCTCAGAGCGACCGTCTGTGGTTTGCATTACATCACTCACAACCCCACTCACGCACCCAACATCCAGTATAAAGCGATGAAGCATGTTACTGAGAGCCGCGATTGAGTTGGAAACGTCCTCATGCCTTAGGCATAAATGCAATTGCTGCACAGTGCAGCGCAACTTGCTTAGCTGAGCGGCGCAGTGGTGGTGGTCGGTACCACTCCTGTGAGCTTACAATGTTACAGGGCTACACACGCAGTGTCCTCGGAACTCCAGGTACTCATCTCATGGATCCATTCCCTGAGGTGACGGCGTCATGCTGGTAGACAGCTTGTACTCATTGCTTTCGCGCGGAGCTCGATCGGATCCATCGCTTCGGAATGCACACCACACTTGTGGCAATGGAATCTCACTGGTACACTCGTAGCCAGTCTGCATGGGCCATGCGTCGTAATTGCCACCTCCTCCTTAACACCGACGGTTGTTAGGTCACGTATATTCCAAGAAGTGCATGTGTCCGCGTTTCCAATCCGCATGCCTTCCGGTCTTATTCCTTCGGGTTTACACTGGATATGGGGTGTGTGAATGGAACTGTGGGTGGTGCAGCACAAGTCATCCATGGCCCCCTTTGTAGGCGCAGGCATCCTGTGGCTGGCCACAGTGACAGGCAAATCCGAAACCGGATGTCGCCAATCATGTGTCCGCGTTGCAGATGACTTTCAAGCATGTGGCACACGTTGAGGGGAACTTACCGCAACTAAGTCAAATGGGCAAATTAAAACTGTGCTACTACTCACCTGTTCATGATTTCTCCATCCCACTGGGCACCTTGGAGGAACATTATGAATCAAGTAGGTAATAAAGGTTTAGGATTAGTTATATGTCAGAAGTATCTTAATCCAGTAGTGTGGGTGTCAACCTCCAACCATAGAGTCCTGGATTTCGGATTGAGCTTCAGCTGACTCCACTTGAAGAAGCCAGACACGAACGAAACTGTCTGGCTGCTCATATGTTCATCACGCTTAAGACCTGGATTGTACCCGTTCTGCTCACCAATCGAGATGACGGGAGAACATGGAGGACGAAACCGGTCGCAGGTTGTCAGTGTCGTTGTGAGACAGCACCTCCGAAACTCTCCACTTCGGATACGGTTCCAGTGATGGAAATAACAGAGCCTACCATGACCTCAAATGAGATAGCACATCGCGGGTACTCCAAGACCATCCAACAGCGAACTTCTAACCGATGTATCAACTCCTGCTCGCGGAGCTGACTTAGGGACCAAGACGTAAGTCTTCAACCACTATGTAGCGGGTTCCACTCAGCTCAGGCTATCTCTATATGGAGAGTTCGAATCAGGACGAAACCGCTCGGTTGTAAAGTACAGTATCGGGAGAGAGCAGCTCCGGAACCATCCAATTAGGATGCAATCTCAGTGATCGGAATGACCGGGAGTAACTCAAGTGTAAGTCGTGCTACCAGTTGAGATTACGTGCAACAATCCATTCACATATCGGATGCTTCAACTCTCAACGGTGACGACCTAACCGCTGTGCCATGCGTTGCTAGCAAAGCCTAGTGATCGATACATCAAATCATAATCACTACCTGCCTATTGTCGGCCGGTGGCCGAGTGGTCTGCACGTTTGCTTTGCAACCATAAGGTCACCGGTTCGAATCCGCGTAGGGGTGGGCGTCCTCGCGGCATACTCAGCCCGCGCGCGACTGTTGGTGGTCGCGCTGCAGCGAAGCGCCATTATGGCGTATAAGCTGACACCACCACCTGCCTATTGTGTCGTCACCGACGCTTTCCCCCACGACCGCAAGTAGAACTCCAAAGACAAGCCAGGAAAGACTTGTATGCATTAACTCACACGGTCTTATATAGTTTTGAAAAAATTTGTACGGAGACTACTACAATACATTTGAGTCAATCACACCGAGGGAAAACACTAAGCGTAGCAAACGAATGAGCAGTGGAATGAAGAACGAACCAGATATGTCCTTATAAATGGCATCCTGGGACCAAAACTGTAAACAGCGCATCATTCACAACGGTGGGTGCTGGTAAATCAGATTAACGACATGGCGTGTTTAAACAAGGGTCACGAAACAGAAGATAAGAAGAAATGCAAACACGAAACATTAAGAACTACTGCGAAAACGGATTTCAACTGAACATTCCGTTAATGTAATCAAATAAAAATTTATGAGAACAAAAGCAAATTATCTCTGTTCTTGAAAATGATGCTCCTGAAACTGTCATGTAAGTTGTGCATCCATTACTAAGGACATGCGTTTACTAATCGGAGCGTTTAAACAACTGTCAAGAAGTCGACGGTAGGTAGAATGAAAAACGGCAACTAAGACCATTCACAAAATGAATGTCAATTAGGGATTCATCTAACAATGCTGGATCCGGTCCCTAGCTCTGACCATCTTCATATGAGGAACACAGACAGGAACGAAACCGGTCCTAGAGCGGCGTGTTGTTGGGAGGGGGCAACATTGAAATCCCTCCATTGCACACGGACCCCCGGCACATAATGCTCGGTGGTTCAAAGCTATAAAAAGTGCTTCACCCTTAAATCATGTATCACAATCCAACTAGACCGCTGGTTCTCTAAACTTGACAAAGACTCCTAGGTGGGTTTAGCCACACCATGCCATTACCTCTTTTCGTTAATGATGCTGGTATGTCGAAACGGAACATATACAAATGATGAATTTCATTCTTTTATATTTGTTCAAACCGTGATCAGGGGTACTTATTCTTTCGACCCTCTATTACGAACGTTTACTTAACTCCCACTTATTGGTGGTTCCATAGGATAAATAATACAGTGGTTTACTCACATTAGTTTCTAGTGTTAGATTCTCTGAATTGCCAATATCATTTTCACACGAGTTCTCAATGCCTAGGAATGTCAAGTGAGAGATTGTTGGCAGGACGTATTCAGTCAGTGACCTCTCACGTGTCATCGATCAGTTTCCTGTGTTAGTCGGTGCGGGGTGTGATAGCAACTTAACAGGTGCACTCTCTAAAGCAAGTATCCACTGTATGTTGTTTTGTACACGAACCGACCATACAGCAAAACAACAATACAGCGTTTTTCTACAAGGTCAGTCGGAGACAATGCTTAATCCACCGCAGAAACAAAAACATTGTAATAGAGTGGATGAACTAAACGGTCAGGAAAAATGCCGATGCTCACAGGAATATAACACTTCAGTGGATTGCCAAAATGTTGTGTCAGTGTGCGTGGCGTATCTTCTCTACAAAAGTAATTAATCTTTCTCGTAGAACACAGACGCACACTCGGGGCACCATGTGAACTACCGGGTAGGTTGCATCGTCTGGTCTCGACATGAATAGATTATCTATGCTATTTGGCGGTTAGCGTACTAATTATTTCCAAGCCAAAACAAATTGCACATAGCCAACGGAGGCCCGTAGACTCCAAATAAATTCCCATAATCCTTATGTTTAATACTCCCCATAATAAAGTTGCTTTTCGCACACTGCGAGCAAATTGGACGCTCGTGATTGGAAATACCAACCCCAATACATTTATGCACTACACATTTGACTTTATTTTTCTCTGCCTCTTTTAGCATTCTATTGGAACGGTCAGTATCTTATCAACGAGCGTGGTTCTTTCGTCTCGGATGCGACGGTGATGACGGGTCCCGGAAGAGTGCCTGCCAAGAGCATGGACGAAGTGGTGGTGGTACTTATGCCCCATTTACTACGCCCCACGACGCCACATCAGCCACGTCCTCCACAACCCCTCCCAGACGGTCTGCCTGAAGGCTCCATTGCTGGTGGCGTTGTGATGCCTGGTTTGGGAACCGGAAATGTCAACTTGGGTGCCCCTATCTTCGTACCGGGTATGTTGCATCTGATTGTATACCAGAGATCAGGGGGTACTCGGCAACTGTCTGTTGTGAAGGTAGGAAAGTTAAGAGAGAGCTATATTTTCACATCAAACAAAAGTGTCAGAGGATACAGGGTGTGATATGATGTAGTCACTTGATGCACCGCTCTCAGTCACAGAAAAGGAAAAGTCACTTGAGATCGATTGGCGTTCGCTTGGTGGCTGATAAGCGCATTCCGCGTTACCACAGATTCGGAATCTGTGGCAACTGTCTTCGCACTCAGAACGGCAGTCGATTTAGATCCATAACCATGGGAGATGAGGCTTTTATCTTCGCTCGAGAACCATGAATGAGCTACTTATTGTTTAATAAACGTTTGATGATCGCTTAGATAGCCCTATGGAAAAGTGGGACAACGGTGTATTACTGACAAATGGTCAGTTGTCTAAGAAGTTCCTTGAGGTGGCCAGAATGAGAACTACAAGATGGAAGCAGAACGCATGGTGTTAAAATTAAAAGCGTTTTATTGGACTGACCGTAGCGTTCACACGGGGGCAGACGTTTACTGGGCTATCACGACTGTATAGCGGAACGCTGGTTGGTTCATAATTTGTCATCTTATGTTGTCTCCCAAGTTATTAGTAGTATATATCACCGTGTAGGTGGCCTATAGTAACCTCAAGGTGTATTTGGATGTGAACAACTTAAATGCATAAGATACGTATTTATGGAAAAATGCATTTATTACGCATAAAACAGCAAACGCCTAACAATTTTTCGCACGTAAAGAGTGAGTGCAATAATGGAAGTAGCAAGTAAAAATTCCACCTAACCGTAGACCCACCACAAATTTCGCGTGCACACTTAGGTTGGTTAATTTGTCCTATGTTACATCACGCAATCCAGGGGCTGTTAAACACCATCAATTCGAGTATTGAGTTCATTTGACATAGGAGCGTTCTACAGTTTTCACACACGAAGTTACTGAAAGTTCCAGAGACATTCCAACCGGCCGCATTGCGTGGCCAACTTGAACCGGTGGCCTCTAAGTTTCGTGTTACCACAAAGCTGTAGGTGATGGCAGTGGTGGTTGGAGTTCCTTAGGATATGATAGATCATTATGAGTTATACATACAAGGCCTTCTCGACCAAAGTGTATACGGAAGTAGGGACAGTCCTTTGACATGCTTACGGGCTCGTTGTTAGGTGGCGTAGGGCGCTGCTAGGTCTTGCTTGTGCCAAGGCTGCCATCAGGTCTGTATTCAGTCATACCAGACTGCTTTGGCCACCTGTGGACTCCTAGAGACTGAAAAGCGAACCTGCTTGTATCCAAATGCTTAAAACCTTTTCAATAAGCTGGCTCAACTGAAGGATCGCCAAGTTTAGATCATGCGATATCATCGGTATCACAGAGAGGTGGTGGTTACATGCTGGAAGGAGGGATTCTGAATTTTCGCTATTAGGCATGTTGCTCATCCGAAACGACAAAGATCAGTGAGTTTATACAGGTTAAGCAGCACTGCTTTACAAGCCCCGGTTAGTTGGTTAGTCTAGTGAGTTATCGAAAAGCCTTAATGAAAAAATGCAGTTATTAGTTCTGCCGTCAACTGAATAGACTTATCCTATAATGGATTAGCCCTGCACTCCGAATATTTCCATGGCTTCAACAGGCGAAAAGAAATATATTAAAGATATGTCCCGGGAGTAGGATGGGGGATAGCGTCAAGTAACAAAATGAAAGTGGCGGAGTGCGCTATCCAACCGACTTTTTAATATGGCTATTAAGGGTGCAGAAACAACAGATTCGGGGGGGGGGAGCATTCCATGGTTGAGGCGCGTGAATGGAAGAGAAGTTTCTAAGGCAAGCCAGACGGCTGTACTGTTCTGCTAACTTCAAGGAGTAGCCTCTAAGTGTGGTGTTACTGCTGAGTTGTGGTACGGAACAGCACACATGATTTTAATTGGGTAAAGTCAAATACGTCATAAGCAGATCGCCTCTTAGTCGGCGATACCGCCCGCTGAATACTCCCAAACGTTTCAGACTCTGATCGTACGGAAGGTGGCGCATCCAACTGACGTATTTAGAAGCCCGACGTTGAGGTTGGTCCAATGCAGTAAGGTCGTGCTTCAGCCATGGCTACTAGGTTTGAACTGCGCATTCGACATGGGGGAGAACCTACGCATTGGGCATATTTCTGAAAATATGGGTGTCTGTTTGTCCGAACGCCTGCCGTAGCAAGCCGGCGTGCTGGTTATCAGTTTCCGATGCGTTTGCGAATTGCTTGGAACAACCTAAGTTATCCTGAACCAGCACGCCGAGGTTGCGCACGACGGATGATGGCTGCAGTACTTGCGTTCCTAGATTGTAGGAATAGGTACTCTGGTGTCGTATGAAGAGTACTTTGCATTTGCGGTCGTCGAACTGCAATGGCTTGAATACGTCAACGAACAGTAGGAAATTTCAAGCGATTGCCCCTACAAGATCCTTGATGAATACCAGAGACAATCGTGGACCTGGTACTGAGTCTTGTGGCACATTAGAATTGACTGATATAGGATCAGATAAGCAACTCCGGAATCTGACCCCTAACTGTCGTTGCAACCGAAAGCTGGCGATCCAGCTCAAGAGATGGTCACCGATCCCGTAATATTGGAGATTGGAATCCCTTCGACAAATCCAAGTAGATCTCATCAGCGGCCTCTACAGCGTCAGCTGATTCGGTCCAACTACTCCGTGCAATTAATAAATTCGTTGTGCACGAACGCTGTCGACGAAAGCCGTGTTGCTCAAGAGCAATAATGTTATAATGTTCTAGATCTTACACCAAGGCATCGGCGACCATGGATAATACAGGGGGAAGATACATTGGGCGGTAGTTTGAGGGCTCAGTACTGCTTCCGCCTTTGTGAATCAGAGTTATTATTTCAAGCACCCATATCGCAGGAATCTGGTTCTGGTCTAAGCAACGCTGAAAGAACCGGGCTAAAGGTTTTTCCAGCTGTTTTGCTGCTAATCCCAGTGCCTCTGGGCGAATGCTGTCCACTCCCGGGGAGCTTTGGTTGCGCAGAGATGTCAGCGTCTGCAATACAGCTTCGGCAGTAAAAGAGATATGGGCGAGTCATGGAGACGGGAAAACAAAAGTTGGAAGATGACCTGATGGTAAGAACCTCTGAAATACGGGAGCTTATTGCGTCCGCAACGCGGTTCCTGCTTTCATACCTGTTCTAGTAGGACCATCAGTCGTCCGAAGCGGAGGAATTCCTTACCTCAGCTTACGATAGCCATTGACACACTTGTGCAGAAGTTTGTGCTTAGTGCGGAAAGTTTTCGCCATATTCTGCTGATATGCGACTTTGTCAACCCTGTGCAGTTAAGTGCGGTCTTTACGATGGGCAACGTAATTGTCCCAGTTATCTTGCGTTGGTGAGGATCTGTACTCTCGTCAGGATGCGTCGCGTACAGTCATCCATTTTTGAGTTCTGCTCCTCACGAAAGGAACGGTTTTAAGCTCATTACAATCCCTTGTCTCTGAGTCATCCGTAACCAGTTGATTGAATATGCTGACGAATTCAAGCCAAGCAGCTCACGGGTGGTGTTCAGTGAGGAATGACCAGGGTGCGGCACTAACGAGCTGGGCTAAGCGGTCGTAGCGCGTACTGGTGCGCACCATCTCAGTATTCTCATGACGATATTCCGCATAGCAGATGAAGTCGAAACTGATGACTACATGATCGATGCGACCCACATGGTATTCTGCAATCAATACATCAATCATAAGTTCCTCGTTGGTGAACACAAGATCTAGCAAAGATGGTCTGTTACCTGTTCCGAAACGAGTGGGTATAATGACATGATTGTACAGTGGAACACTGGTTATGAGCTCTTGCTGATCTGCTTTGAGTGGTTCCCCAATTGTACCGGAGGTTTCTAAATAGTGTACCGACTCACAAAATTAGGAGGGGCTACTCCGTATTACAAAAGTAACTCACAGTGCTCTACAGTTACGTCACTTTGCCCACTTGGTTCGGAACAAGTAACAGACTGTCTGTGTTGGATCTTGTACTTACCAACAAGGAGCATATGATTGGTGTATTGATACCCTTTGGGTCGCAATGACTATGCAGTCATTAGTTTTAACTTCACCTGCTATGCGCAATATCGAAATGAAAACTATGACATGCTGCACACAATTACACGCTACGACCGCTTAGCCCAGCTCGTTAGTGTCACAACCTCGTCACTAAACAGTAAGAGCAAAGCCACACATGGCTGCTACCTTGGCTACAGCAATGCTTTCGACTATGTTAACCGTATATTGCTGTTGCAAGATCCACAGGCGTCTGGTATTCAACTTTCCCTGGTATCCTTACTAAAGGATTATTTCGCCAAACAAATTCAGGTCACCAGATTTGACGGCAAAAGCTCTTCACCACTTACAACAACATCCGGTGTCCTTCAAGGAGCGATTTTGTCATCATTCTTGTTCTCTACTTACGCTAGCTGTATACCTGTCCAAGAAGGAACTATTCTGTTAAAATACGAAGATGACATTAGCATTGGCATGAATCAGCAAACTTCGGCATCCTCAGCCAATCTGCACTTATTTAGATGAACTAGTGCAATGGTCAGACTCCCGCTGCTTGTCGTTGAACACAATGACATTCTTTTTTCATTACATAAAGCAGCTCGTTACCGAGAAGTTGTCACGGAATGTCCCGAACTTCGGATTGAAGGGGATAATTTAAGCTTCTGTACGTCAGTCAAGTATCTTGGAGTTACAATGAGCCACCATTTGTCGTGGTCACTTCACGTGAAAGAAATATTCATCAAAGACAGGCGACTTCTTTTTTCCGTCGCCCAATTGAGACCAGCCTGCGTGCCATACAATTTGACTCTGAAGTGCATCAATGCATGCATTCTATTGTCTAAGCATTTCGAACTGCTTGGCAGGTCGCTGAATCGCTTGTCTCGTTGCAGTAGTATTCCAAAGCCAAGTTTAACAAACATACTG